CATCACCAAGTTGGAGGCCGTGCCCAGCCGGTACCGGCGCCCGAAGGAGTAGCGTCTCCCCGGCGTCAGGGTGTAGGTGCGGACGATGTTCCAGGCCGCGAAGCTGGCCGAGGCCACGAACCTCTGACTTTTGAAGCGCACCAAAAAATTGCCTAATGTGGTGAGCGTGGGCTCCAGCAGCACCTCGCCCAGGGTGGCCAGCGTGACGTCGTCGGCCCCTCCGTCGAGGAACTCGTGCTTCAGCAGCAGGGCCGAGGCCGCCGTGTCCTCCTCCTCCTCCGTGTTGCCGGCCTCCAGGGTTGCGTCCAGGATCTGGAGCCCGTACCGTTCCTGCCGTCTGGTTGGGCAGGCCCGGCGCCTGGAAGTGCGCCCCGAAGTGCAGCTTCGCAACTCCGTTCGGAGGCACGGTGAAGTACATCTTGGCCGTGCTCCAGGCGCCCTCGTCTCCCGCGAAGAGGGGGTCGTAGACGTTGTCGGCCTCGGACATGTACACCACGAAGTTGGAGGCCGTGCCGAGCCGGTACCGGCAGGCGAAGAGGAGCTCTCGGCCGGGGGTCAGGTTGTAGGTGCGCACAATGTTCCACGGGTTCACTGCCAGGGTCAGGGTGTAGCCGTCCACGCTCACTCCCGCGGTGTGCGTGGCCAGGACCACGCTGCAGCCGCTGCTGGGGCGAACCGTCCAGTTTGACAGCGAGACGTCCGTGGGGGCCAGGATCTGCTCTCCTATGGCGGCCACCACCTCGTCGGCCCCTCCGTCGTCCGGAAAGCGCACTGCTATTTGCAGGGCCGAGGCTGCCTCCGTGACTCCGAGCTTGCCGGCAAGGAGGCCGTCTACTTGTGCGATGGTGTAGTAGCTGAGCAGCGCGGCTGCGATGCTCGAGGCCGTTGCCGTGTCCTGGTCTGCGGCTGAGCGGTACGCCACCAGCGCCGAGGTGATTTGGTTGGTTGTGAAGACGTCCTGGTCCGGGCCCGTCCGGTAGGCCAGCAGCGCGCCCGCGATAGCCGCCTGCGTCTGCGTCCTGCGCGCTTGCCGTGCGGTAGTCTCCCAACAGGGCGTCCACTTGCGCCGAGGTGTAGTAGGCCAGCAGCGCGCCTGTGATGGCGGCCTGCGTCTGCGTGTCCTGCGCCGTTCCTGTTCGGTAGTCTCCCAACAGCGCGTCCACTTGTGAGGAGGTGTAGTAGGCCAGCAGCGCAGCCGCGAGGGCCGCGTCCGCCGCTGCGACGGAGTAGCAGTCGGCCGCGATGCTCAGCGTGTCGTCGCCGTTGGCCAGCGCAGCAGAGAGAGGAGCCTCCAGATGCAGGTTGCGAACGACGTTGCTTCCGCGAACGAGCTCCCAAGTTGTGAAGCCCGCCCAGGCCGGCGCGTTAACAACTCCGCCGCTGCCGGAAAGCTGCAGGGCGGCGAGCTCCGCGAGGATTGCGTGATCGCACCTGTTTCCTCTCTCTCGGATCGAGCACAGGTATACGCAAGTCCATGCAAGACCATAAGCCCTACTCAAGCCTTGAGCCAAAGGTGGCATCCATGGGAACATTTCAACCAAAGAGAACATGCACGGCTTCCCAATTTAGGCACGGGGCCAGGAGGGTTTTAACATCCCCCATTTGGGTCGCACTGTTCATCACGCGGTCCAAACACCACAACAAGTCCCAATGGCCACGGCTCGGACTACGAAACTGTGTCGAAACTTTCTTTCATGCTCAATTGCAAAGCCAACTATTCATTGTGAAACTCAGCCGGGTGCGATTAAATCAAAACAGCCGCATCCGCAGATTGCAGTACAGTCCTATCCTCAGAGGCTGAGGCATTGTACCTCGTACCACATCGCAGTTGTCGAAGATCCCAGCTGCCGCATTTGCGCATCACGCAGCTGTCATCCACCGAGGTGGGTTGGCCATTATGCTGCGCATTGCCTTGTGCGTCATCGCCCTGCCCGTTTCGTTCCGCCTGCGGCCGCATTATCCCCCTGAACTGCACCGATGTGTTCACGACGGGCGTGGACGCCTCGGGCGCAGTCTCCCGCGCAGCGCTCACGGCCACCGGCACCGTCGTCGGAGCCACGCTGTCGTCCACCGGCGCCGTGTCGGGCAGCTCGCTGAGCATCACCGGGGCGGCCAGCGTGGGCCTGCTGAGCTCGGCCACCGGAATCACCGGCAGCACTCTCACCATCAACAACACGGCCAACGCCGGGAACTTCACCACGGTGGGCGACGTGTCCACGGGCACGCTGACGGCCTCCGGCGCAGCGACGGCGGCGAGCTTCGCAGCTCACTCACGGCCACGAGCGGCGGAGCTCGGGCACGGTCTCCGCCCCGCAGCTCTTCGCGTCCAACACGCTCACCGTGACCAACACCTCCGACGTCTCGGACGATCTCTTCTTGACGAAGAACTGGGCGGGCTGGAGCAAGCTGCAGATCTCCAACAACAGCGCGGCCTCCGACAGCGGCCCGGAGCTGCGGCTGCTGGGCAACCAGAGCGCGAGGGTCTTCCTGGAGCGGGACGGTGGGGCGCACCAGTGCGAGCTCATCATGATCAACGACGAGGCGCTGGTGCAGACGAAGAGCCTCTCCACGCAGCTGTCCCTGACCACGAACCAGAGGAACCCGGCTGCCTCGTGATCGCGGGCAACACGGGCAACGTGGTCTGCAACACGAGCTTCACGAATTTGTCGGACAGCAGGGTGAAGACGGAGATGGCCGAGGCCGACGTGGCAGAGCTCCAGCAGCTCTTCGACTCCGTGGAGGCCAAGCAGTACAAGCGCCCGGACATGAACGAGGACCTGAGGCTGGGCTTCGCCTCAAACGACTTCGCAGGAACGAAGTGGAAGAATTTGACGGGCGCCGCCCGGTGGAGCGACGGCACGGAGATGGTCACCCTCGACTACTCTCACCTCACCAGCGTGCTGCGGGGGGTGTGCAAGGGCTTCCAGGCCCGGCTGGACGAGGTGGAAGCCTGGCAGGCCCAGCGGGGGCCGAAGAACAAGTAAAATGGAGGCGCTGAGGGACCTGGGCCGACGACTTCAACGTGAGGGACCCGCGGAAGCTGTACCGACTTGCAAGGCAGCGTGACCTCGACGTGACGCAGGCCATGGCCTTCGAGGCGCTGAAGGCCGACGTGGGCCGGCAGGTGCAGGCGCCCCGGCCGCGTGCGCTGGGCAAGTCGGCCGCCGAGGGGCCGAACGACCGGCTGCAGGCCGACCTCATCCACTTCAGCCGGGGGAAGACCAGGTACGGCCTGGTGGTGATGGACGTCTTCACTCGGGAGGCCGCCGTGGAACCTCTGCAGAACAAGAACGCCGAGACAGTCGGCCGGGCCACCAAGCGCGCCGCGCGGGAGCTGACGGGGGACGACGGGAACTTCGTGGTCACGACAGACCTGGGCAACGAGTTCGCCACGCTGGACCGGGAGCTGCCCGAGGAAGCCGTGCACCGGACGAAGCGGCGGGAGGACCGCAACGCCACGGCCGTGGTGGATCGGGGCATCCAGACGCTGAAGAAGGACCTGGCCACGAGGGTGGCGCGCAAGGGCGGGCAGTGGAGCGACCACTTCGAGCGGGCGGCCGGGGCCTACAACGCCCGGCCGCACGAGACGGTGCACGGCGCGCCCGAGGACGTGGAGAAGCAGCCGGCCACCAAGTTCCGGCTGCTGCAGGACAACGCCGACAAGTTCCAGCACAACAAGGACCTCACCGACCGGCGCATGAAGGCGGTGGAGGACGCGGGCGCCTTCCGAGCGCCGACAAACGCGGCGAGGAGCTTCAACCCTCAGTACGGCCTCCATGACCGTCCGGAGCACGGAGGGCCGGGAGACCCTGCTGAAGCTGGCGCTGCCGGCGCCGCAGGGCAGCGGCAACGCGGCGGGCGGGGCAGGCCGGCGGCCGTGAGGCAGCTGGACGACTTCCTGGCGCCTCCGCGGCCCAGGACCCTCGACTAGCCTTTTTTTCAAAAACTGGTTTTTTGAGGCATTCAGGCCTCCTCGTTCTAGAGGAACCTTGATTGGACCGTTTTTGGTGCAAAAAAATGTTTGATCACGCTCAGGCGGAATTGCCTGATCCGCTGGCCTCCGAGCTCGCAAGCCGAGACGCCTCCATCTCGGGCCTGCAGGCCTCCAAGGCGGACGCCAGCGCGCTGACCGCGTACGCCCCGCTGTCGGCCGTCGACACTTCCTCGGAGTGCAGATCTCGAACTCGTGTGGTTATTGAGGAACGCCCTTACATTTTCCACTGGTTTGGCTGTATCGGTTTAGCCGTATGTCTTCACCACGTGATTGAGTACCATTCAACTGGAAGCTTGGTGGACAGCGTCCCACGGGACGTCATCTCGCATTCTTGACACTTGCAAGTGTGTCAAGAGAAATGTGCAAACAAGCCAAGCAAGTTGTAATGTAACCCTAGGACTTAGCCAAGGTGCAACGCAGGATAGTGGACTTGCGTGTTGGGCTGGCAGATGTAGAAGTTTTCTGACAACATACCTTGCAAGTAGGGGGCCTCACCTTGTATGATTGGGCCAGCTTGTGTTGACTTGGTAGACGATGCGCTTGAGCGGGGGTGTGACCATGATTAGGCCAGCGTATGTTCACTTGGTAGATGTGACTATGACTGGGCAAGCTTGGATGCACTTGACTGGGTTTGCTTATCATTGGGCCAGCGTGTGTTCACTTGGTGGACGATGGGCTGAGCAATTGGGTTGATGTGCATCAGGCCAAACAAGTTTTAGATGCGTTTCGCTATGCGGGTGGGTGCCAGCCCGGTACCTTATAGTAAAGGACGTGCTTGACTGTTCATCGGGCACAGTGGTGCCAGCGTGCGTTGGTATCCTTTTGAGCTTTCATGTCACACACGTGCTTGATGCAATGCGATGCCTGCGATGCGGGCTCACATGCATGCCTGCAGCGAGTGCTCGTGTTGCAAATGTGCTTAGCGTGCTTCCAGCTCATGTTCATCCTATTGGTCAACCATTCAAAGTGACATGCAAACCCCAGATGCCCTTGCAAAATGCTGAAGGCGCTGAGTTCGCAGAGCTATTTGTGCGCAACGGCTCCTGACTGGGAGCTGCAGACTGCTTCGGGCCAGCTGAAGGTGAGCTATGAGGCGGGTGTCTGCCTTGCAGAAGATAGCGCAGCCAGTTGAAGTGCAGGCTGGCCCTTCGCTGCAGATGCTGCCGACAGATTTGCTCACTCGGGTGGCGCTTATGATGCAGCCACGTGAGCTCTTGCAGATGCGCGCAGCGCTCCGCCAATTCTGCATTCGAATGACACGCGTGCCCCACGTCCATGCGCACTGTCAATTCATGCTCCATGGTCTCCAGCCCACATTCTGCTTATTGTCGTTGGCTGGCAGCTATGGCAGTAGAGAGGTTTCTGAGGTTGCTTCTGGCGAGTGAGCAGGACTTGCGGGCGAGGGTCGTACGCCAATCTGGTCCAGCTGGCTGTGAAGAGGATTCCGGACATCGGCGAGAACAAGTTTTCCGGCAATGGCTCATTGCGTCAGAAGAACTGCTGAAAACGCTAGTGTCGCTCGAGGCCGAATACCTCCCGATCAAGAGTACCCTTGCGCAGCCGAAACCGATGGTGCTACAATGACACGGAAACTCGGGCGTGCTTCGCGAAAGATGACGGATCGCGCTACTCGAGCAAAACAATGGAGATGGGTGCCATCAGTTCACCATGCTCGGCAGCATCTCCGCATCGCTTTGCCCGTTCCTTGCAATGGTTCGCAAAACTTGACATGAGGTAGAGTCAAAAAGCCTCAAGTCTTCGTTTCCCCTAGGGAAGGACATTTCTAGGGCTAAACGTGCGCGAAACCCTGTAAACCGACGAGGAAATCCCAAAACCGTTGCCCTCCAATCGTATATTCACAAGGGTGAGAAAAATGACCGCCTCGGACACATGAGTTTTGGCTCGACCTCACATGTCTGCAGCATTTTGTACTGCACACCTGCCTGTGCAATGGACACTGCTCAGACGGTGCTGGTGGATGCAGCACCCACCTTAGTTTGTTGGTGAAGGTTGCGCCGGCAAAGACCATGCGGCCATTCACGCAGGTGTGCTTTGTTCATGACGCGCAGCCGAGGCACGCGCTGCTACGCCTTCCAATGGCATCACTCCGTGGACGACGAGCCCGGAGGGCGTCTGGGCACGGGTTGGCGTGGGCTGGCGAGAGTCGCAGAGCAGCGCGCCCGCTGCTGTGGAGCCCAATGCCGTGGAGCAAGTCGAGGCGATGGAGGCTGTGGAGGTGGAGTTTGGGCTTGGGTTCAATCAGCTTTGTTGTGGGGCTCGGTGGCCAGTAACAAAAAAACACAATAGCGCATCAGCCGAGGACAAGCGCAACATCAAAGGCGCTTGCTTCTCAAGTGAATGCATGGGGTGCTGGGGGTTGCCCTTAGCCATATAAGTGAGAATGAGATGTCGTATTCGCAGCATCATGTGACTCCCGCTTTTCTCTCGACCATCTCGGAAATGAGCAGCCTGAGCGTGTGTGCGTGCGCGTGCGCGTGCCTGTGTGCGCGTGTGCGTGTGTGCGTGTGTGTGCATGTGTGTGCATGCGCGTGTGTGTGTGTGTGTGTGTGTGTGTGTGTGTGTGTGTGTGTGTGTGTGTGTGTGTGTGTGTGTGTGTGTGTGTGTGTGTGTGCGTGTGCGTGTGCGTGTGCGTGTGCGTGTGCGTGTGCGTGTGCGTGTGCGTGTGCGTGCGCGTGCGCGTTTGCGTGCGCGTGTGCGTTTGCGTGTGCGTGTGCGTGTGTGCGTGTGTGCGTGTGTGCGTGTGTGCGTGTGTGTGTGTGTGTGTGTGTGTGTGTGTGTGTGTGTGTGTGTGTGTGTGTGTGTGTGTGTGTGTGTCTGTGTGTGTGTGTGTCCATCCCTGTTGCCAAGGGCTGATTTGAGTAGGCCACAGCCATCCTTGGGTCTAGTCTGTGGCCCTGACGAGTAGGGCCCAAGGATGACGAAACTCCACTCGAACTTTAATTAAAGTGCATGATCCGAACCTAGAGTGTGCCCTTGATCCTGACCCTCGCAGAAGAAATGACACAACAAGGACCGAGAGAAAGGGATTTCACAAGTGTGATCCAGGCAGTGGTTCGTTTAACGGGCTGCCTGCGGTAGGATAGCCTACTGTGTTTGATTGAGCCTTGCCATCGGCTCGCGCGCAGCATTGATCATTCAGTTGACCCTCAGATGTCAGCTTGACCCTTGAGGTCCCAGGTCTGTTTGGAACTTGCCTTTGTTCCACCAAGCTTGCCATTTCATGGTCAGTGCTGTAAAGCACAACAGAGACAGCCAGCGATGTCTATCGCCTCAGAAACCAGCATGCCCATTGGGTCTGAGAGGCCGTAATCCCCCCGATGTATTTTTTTGATGCTGTCTAGGCCGTCGTTGCGATTTGCCATATAGACCAGCAAACCGTTGGTTTTTCTGGCCCGCGGGTGATTCAAATACCCGCGGCGTTAGTGGAGCATCTCGGATCTGTTTGTTCTGTTTTGTTGTTTTCTTGTTCTTTTGCTTTTTCCTTGATTTGCGCAAGATCCCTTGGCCCTTTTGCCGCGATTCTCTTTGCAAGTCACGGGAGCCTTGGCGAAAGAAGTGCTGTGTGGCTGATTGCGTGTGTCCATCCCTGTTGCCAAGGGCTGATCTGAGTTCTTTGTCAGACTCGCAAGCTGGAAGTGTTTGCGAATTGTCGAGGTGGTTCTTTTCCATTATGTGGAGTAGGCCACAGCCATCCTTGGGTCTAGTCTGTGGCCCTGACGAGTAGGGCCCAAGGATGACGAAACTCCACTCGAACTACAATTAAAGTGCATGATCCGAACCTAGAGTGTGCCCTTGATCCTGACCCTCGCAGAAGAAATGACACAACAAGGACCGAGAGAGGGGGGTTTCACAAGTGTGTGCGGTGTGGGTGTGTGTGTGTGTGGCCCCCCTGTTTCTAAGGGGTTTCCGCTGTCCTTTTGTGCTTGGAGTCGGACGCCACCTTCTTGCATGATCAGACATGAAGTACCTGGACTGGTTGATGGCGTTCCGGATGAGGATGATCAGTCCAGCGAAAGATGATTTGACTTGCCTGAAGCCGAAACTCCGTTGCCTTCTGGCGGACACCCTGAAACTCGTGTGCTGGATGTCGCTCACCACTTTCGCCGTCTCATATCAAGTGTGTTTAGGCACTGCGTCCGGGCTTCGGTCAGTGTCTTGATCCCTGTTGTGGGCATCTGTTCCGACTCATGCAATGACATTTTCTACAGACAGTTACCGGACCTTGTCGCTCGTGACGCTTGACTGTTCCAGCTGACCTTCCCAATACAGGCTTGGACTTCTCCCAGACATTCCGGCACCCCAGACTGTTTCCGTGAACCTTTTTTCAGTCAGACCAACTGTTTGACTACCCACCAGACCACCCGACACATCAGGCAAGAACTCATGACGCCGTCAGCTTGCTCTTGGCTCACAATTGTCGGCAACAGATGCCACGCCCCAACGCAGGTCCAATGTCGAACTCAGCAGGCACTATGCTGAAGGCCACCAATCACACAGCGGGTCCTACGCCACCCAGGTCACCAGTGAGCCAGACAGCATCACCGAGCAGGAGTACACTTGTGGCACCGACCTTCAGCACTACTGACACGTCGTCCGGCATCCCGATGGCCACAAACCTTTCGGCTCCATCCCCTGCTCCTTGTGTCTCAACGGTGCCTATTGCCGCTTCTCCCACCCGGCCTGGATCGGCTGCTGGCCCACTACCACGAATTCTGGTGAAGGCGCGCCCAGCAACCCCAACTACCCCAACGGCTCCAACTACAGCATGTCCGACTCCGGCTACTGTACCGACCTCTACGGCAATCCTGCGGACTCCCACAGTCTCGCAGCAAGCGGTGGCATCAGGTCCTACACCTCCGCAGCCAGTTACAACGCCGTCGGCTCCCAACCAGGCCACCCCAGTACCAAAGCCAGTGACCACCACGGCTACAGCACCTCCGACACCTACGTCGTCGGCATCTCATCCATCCAGTCAGATGCTGCCACCGGCCAACCCACCGGCAAGACCACGCCGCACAACGGATGGCAAGCGATCACATTCCCACAAAGCCCCCCCCTACTCCAAGTCAGTGCCCCCACAACGCCGAAGTCGAGCTCGCTCCAGGACGCCACCACCGATCTCCCGAAGGGACGCACGGTCGGATCGCTCATCCAAGGCAGCAGCAGCTCTCGCCACTCCCGCGACTTCAGCGACTACAGCTTCATCCCAGCGACCGAGAAGTAACAGGTCCCTACTTCCGCGCAGCAGAAGCAGTGCTCCATCGGCTCCAGCTCCTAAGACCACCAGTGCTGATCCAGTTACAGAGTCCTCCTAGAGAAACACTCAGCCACGTCCGAATCCACAGGCATACCCACCGCTGACCCTGCTCCCCAACCCACAGTCAGACCCGTGGAGGAGAGAACTTCAGGTACTTGCCTCGCAGCACGTCCGCGACGGGATCCCGGTTAATCAGGAGCAGCTGGACTATGTGGCCGCCACCCTAAATGCAGCAGGAGTACCGTCTCAGCGCTCCACTTTGGCCTACGCGAAGGTCAATTCGGACCATCACTACTCCAAGATCACTCCACACTGGTTCATGCTGACCGTTCCCTACCTCGGCGCCACAGTTGGGCTCAAAGAACCAACGAAGACGCGACCCATGCTGCTCTGGACACACGCTTCAAGTATTGGTGGTACTCGCGGCATCTTGCGCACCCAACAGATCCATCCTTCCCGGCAACACAGTTCGGACTGCCCAGCCTTGTATGCCCAGGGATGGAAGATCACAGGACCCCCCGACTATGATGCTGAAGAAACAGCCCGGATGATGTCTCAGAACTGGAGTATGAGCTTCAACATGGCCCAATTGCTACTGTTCGGGCGCGCTGTCGGTACCTGTCAGCCGATTCGTGGAGGGGGAGAACGTGCTTGCATCGAGGCATTGGATTCCAGTGAACGTCCTGACGTCATACACTATGTTGCAGTCATTCTTTCTATGAGCTTCATCGATGCGCTGGTCTTATTACACCTGCAACCCGATCAGACGAACTGCTGCACCTGATGACACTTCATGATGTTTAATTGCAGTACTACATTGCCGTCTTCGCCCGCCGACAGCATTTTGCGACAAAAAGTGCACGCCGGGGCCTGCTGAAGCAAGCATGACTTTCTTTTGCCTGGCCTTCTTGACGTGTTTTCCCTGGCCTTGTGTTGATCCGTGTGTGTTGATCGCTTTCTTCTTAATCGGGGAAGTTTCCGGCTTCTGGTTGAAAACCTTTTGTCAACTTGTCAACCCGTGCCGCATGCCCAGCGTCTGGTCAATCAATCAGCCAGTGCCTGAGATAAGCAACCATCCCTTGATGGCTTCTCGGTGGCCCTACTCATGGCCGGCGACTTCGGCAACCCCTTCCTCGCAACCGATGTCTCCGCATCTTCCATCATGGTCGGTCCCGCAGCCCCAGACAGCAGGCCACTCAAGCTCCAACCGGATGGAACCCGGTGGCACGACCAACATACAGACGGTTTCTTGGCCCCCACCACCAGCACCACCAGTTCAACTTCAACCTCGTGCACCCCTAGGCCAAGGCGATACAACGCAGTACACTCAGCCTCGCTATGCGCAACTTCTTCCCAGCACCTTTCAATCTGATGACACCTTTCTCGACAAAACGGAAGTCCGTGGCCTGCAGCTATACCGTTACATTCAACCCACTCAGTGGTCTCGCAGGGTCGGCCTTGCTGGGACAGCAATTCTAGACCTTCCGTTGACGCGTCTTCTTCGTGGAGGAGCAGAAGATCACGCGCTCCGAGCGCTATCGAACGGGAGGTACAGCACGCCGGCGATGGCTCAGACAATTGCCGAAGCGGTGCTATTGACATCAATCCTCAAAGCCTTGCGAGGCAGGGAAGTCGACATCGATCGGACTGCCCGCTCCCTTCACCCGGACAATGCGCCAGACAAGCGCAATGAGGCCATGCAGTTCATGGAGCCGCTCGCGGAGTCCCTGCAGCCCGCCAAGCAGGAGAACCTCACCCGCCACAAAATTGCCTCCGGACAAGAAGCAGCCCTCTTCGCCTCCTTCCAATACCACTTCCTGGCTGGCCGTTCTGACCAGTCCCTCTCTATCAACAAAGTGATGTCGGATGCTCCTGGGCCCCCCCTACTGATCCAGCTCCCAAACGACGCCCGGCCAAGCGCAAGACTCAGAGGCCGCCCCGGACATCACCCTAGATCCAGAACTTTCACGTCAGGGCAAATCCCAAAGGGCCAGCAGGTCCCACTTCCCACCAGTCTCACGGACAAGGTCTTCAAAGCGTGGTTGCAGGAACGCACGCTGTCCAACCAAGCGGCTTATCTCGACCTCGTCAAGCAGGAGCTGGCATCGGACACGGTGGAACAG